TACATAGCAAAATTCCTGGAACCTGATGGTGATAGTTGGAGCTGTGTGTCAACTTGGCTGGACCACAATTCTGTGTGGTTTAAGCTGTTGTGATGTGGTTATTCCCATGATGGGATTAGATGATTATGTTTTGAGCAGGCAATCTGTTGAAAGGGAGTTTCCCTGGGGGTGTGGCCTGCTTCCAGTATATCTATAGATATTCCGGGAAAAGAGACATTCTTCTGTGGATGGGATTCATACTGCCTACAACTGTCCGTGAGTGAACAATCCACCATTCAGCCTAGAAATCTTGGATTCATCATTCGTTGGAGTCAACAGCCAGTGTACTGCCTGCCAGCCTTGAGCGTCTCAGCCCCTGTAGCTGCAAGAGTCGGGAAAAACCTCCAGCTTGACGTGGAAAAGCTTCCAGGTTGACGTTTGATCCAGGAACTTTGGACTTGCCAGCTTCTATAAGTTTGTGAGCCATTTTCCTAAAATAAATTTCTCTCTCTCTCTCTCTCTCTCTATATATATATATATAAAAGCTTAACTGGTTTTGTTTCTCTAGAGAACCCAGTCTAACACACTGATCTATACCTTATTTATCTCTGTATGATCAGAACCAATAAATACCCTAGTATGTTCTTACTTAGAGCACATGTTTGCTCTTGAAAGTTTACCAGGAGTGCCAAGACAGTATGTAAGCAACAAGCAGTTAGGAGTCCACAGTCTTGGTTCTGGACGTCTATGACCAAATGGCTAGTCAAAGACCCCTTTGACTGTTCAATTACCACCTGAAGAACTGCACTGTCAGTTTTGCAGTCCAGCCATGCTGACACTACCCCACAGAAGCAACTCTTAGACTTTCTCTTCATGCGAACATGTTTAAGCTGGATGTTACCATATTTTTCCTCAATTTGATTTAAAATCATAATAATTGCTGCACTCACTTGATTGTTAACCTTCTTGGGTGTTTTTTTTTTTAAAAAAAGGCAATTGTCATGAGAACTACAAAAAAAAAAAGTTCAAGTAGTTGGAACACTATTTGAACAAAATGCTCAGTAAATCCTAGTTATTATTTATATGTCATTATCCATTGCCTTTTATCTCCTCTAATTTTTATCTTTATCTCCTCTAATCCAGAGATGGGAGCTCTGGTAGCATAGTGGCTAAGGCACTTGACTGCTAACCAGAAGGCTGGCGGTTCAAACCCACCAGCCACTCCTCGGAAGGAAGGTTGGGCAATCCTACTTCCATAGTGATACTGCCTCGGAAACCCAAGGAGGGGTCGCTATGAGTCAGGGCTGACTCGACGGCACATAACAACAACAACAACAATCCAGAGATAACTGAATTTTATAAGCAATCTAAGAAGTTCTCCTCGGCATAGAATTTTATTTGTCTTCTCAAAATCCCTGAAATTTTCTGGCACGCATCTAAGGATTGATAATTTGCGTCAACTTTGTTAAACCTCTTTTTAGGATAAGAGATCATGATTGCTATATGCAAATTGTGAATAAGCATAACACTCACCATGGTATAAGAACAGTAACATGAAAAAGCATGAAAAATTAGAATTCTTCAGGAAAGGAAATGCACAACAGTGATAAAGCAGGAGTAGGCAAGAGTCCATTTACAATTCTATACATTGATCATGATTTTTGTTTTATTTTTAAGTAAACTATCATTTATTCATTCTACTTCTGGAAATATTAACATATTAGTGGATTATGAGTGCTAAGATTTCCATTCTATTTAATTTAATTCCTTGGTTACTATTCAACTATCTCCAACCTGCATTTTTAATACCTAAAACAGCACTTTTAGGGCTTCCAAAAAAGCCTAACATTTTGCTTCTATGGGACTCTTTAAAATGTTCATTATTATTTTTGCCATATGCTCAAATACAGCTACTAGTTAGGGGAGAAAAGCAAACCTACCACTACTTCATAATTAATTCCCATAATCCTTTGCCACTTTGTCAGCAGGGAAGCTTCTTTTTGTTGCACATCTTCTATTTCTTCCATCTCAGCAGCCAATAATGGATACTCTAAAATAGTCAATGCAATTAAGTTAGTGATAAATTAAAAAAATCACATTATCTTAAATCACATTATCTGCACATGGCACTCTGTTGTACAAAATCAGACTCCTCACCCAACATATGGTATACTCTTATTTCTATAGATATTTTAGTAATTTAATTTGGAATGCTACCATTGACATGCTCACTATATTCTTTTAGAAGATCTCTTCTAAAACTTAGCAGTATTTTCATCAAAATATCCAAACCCTGTCTAACTTTCATTTAAAACAACAAAGACTCTAAGTCACTCTACAGTTCACTAGATGTTTTTTTTGTTGCCTCTAGAATGAAAAAGTCATGTTAACATCTATATCAGTTCATTTGTTTTATTTTCATTTGGTTTTACAGGGGAAAAATGGGATCACGTTGTATCTTAGCCAAAAAAAGGCAAAAGAAATAAATTAGTAGAGAATATATACAACTACATGTTGAATGAAAAAAATATAAGTAAAAAAAAAAATTGAAAATGTAAATTAAAATAAAACCCTATAATTATAATCCCATTAATTGGCAAACATAAATAAGTAAATAAATACTTCAACAAAGAAACTCACTAAACAAATTATGTAAACAAAATTGAAGGTATAGTAGTTATTATATAAATCAAGACACTGAGAAGAATTTTAAAGCCATATTCAAAGATTTCCATATTTCATCATAGTTTTTACTCATAAAAGTTGTTTTTAAAACTCTCTATTAGACAGTATTCTCTAAGGCATTTGTTTTTCTTATCCCTGTACCATTCAAATTTCAAATTTAAAGAGTGTTCTCTTTGCATGTGAGCTCATATACAAAGTATATATAAGCTGCTGTATGGAAAGTGAATTTGCCCAAATCACAATTAAAAAAAAAAAAAAGAAATGAATATAGCAATAAGAGTTAACAACCTGATGAATGTGGGGCCTAAAGGGCAAAAGGAAAAAAAAAAAAAAAAGAGTGTTCCAAAATCCAAATTTCTCAATAGCTAACTCCTCTTTATTGCAAATTAATGAACCTGCATTCCAGGCATATTTTGCAGATTTGACGAGACTTGAGTTAATGGAATTATTCTATTTTCTCCTTGAGAAACTAAACATGATAAACTGTAATAAAATAAATTTGGAGGCTAGCTCCAAAAGAAGAGTATTTTTACATCAAAATTAAATTCCTCTCAGAAAGGGATAACTATCTGGGCTGAACATAGATTACAGGGAATCTGTGGACCTGATACAGGAAGAGAAAAAGAAAAGTCAGCTCAGAGTACTATCTCCTCCTACCTCCCCTTTCCTTGATTCTGCTGTGTCCATGTGGCTAGGCAGTGATTCAAGAAAGATGGGGTTTTGAATGAGGAAGTGGGGATTAATAAGGTGCTGGAAAACAATCAGAGGGTCAATTTCATACAAGTAAAATCATATAAACTTCTATCTGCCCCTTACCAACTGTTAGAAGATTAGATTTCAAGGATATTTAACCAGTTACAGTAAGGTCTCCTGACCTTAACCTAAAGTCAAATGACTTGTCCAGGTTCACACATGAGTATAGATTTCTTTGGAAGGGGGTAATGGTATCTTATCCCTTGTTTGAGGACCACTACTATGGCAGACTCACTGGAGTCACTTAAAAGTTTTTCTTTTGCTTATGTTGCTTAACAAAGATTCTAGGGACTCTTGATAATAAGTCCAGAGTCTCCCCCACCTACCTTCCCACATTGAATACACAGTGAATACACTTTCACCAAAGCAAAACAGAGTCTTCAAGACAACCATATAGCCATACACACTTATTATCTCAAATGCCATGCTTTGATGCATGTTTATCTTTTCCCACAATTCCTGACACTCACTAATTTTTTCACCTATTAGTGTAAAAATGACAGGATGGGATTAACAAATGTGAACCCTATACATCTCATTCCCTAGATAAGAAGTTCAGTAGCTTTAAACTACCAAAGTACCTAAAGCAATCTCAAGGTAAGAGGAGTAAACAACGGACAATTTAAATAGATGGCAGTACACTCCAGCATAACTGCATATTAAAACAATGCCTCACTAAAACAACTTCTGAACAGCTTGATGGACTCTAGGATTGTAGTAAAATAATTATCAGAAGGGTTTAATAATTTCTCTGTAAACCAGTTTTTCAAAATGAAAAATTAGAACTTCTAAAAAATTGAGAAGCCTCCCAATATTGGATCGTTTCATTCCTAAAAGCTTATGCTTTAAAGCTTTTCCACTATTCATTTTAGAAAACATTGTAATTTTACAATTGTTTCTTCAAAAAAGTAGAGACACATTGGCTGCATACAGAGGCAAGAGGGTTGAATTAAAATTATGTGTGCAACTGATTGATTCCCAAATGGTTCTAGGTAAATAAACTTAGAAGAAAGAAAAGACTAACTCAGCAAGAAAATATACCAGATATAAACTAACTATTTCAGTCATCTAGTTGAGTAAATTAATCTCATCTCTAAATAGGGATCTACAAGCATCTCTTTTCTGAAAAATATTTTAAAGTGATTTTTATACCCTGGATGCTTAATCATATTTGTAAAAATAATTTCTCCAAAAAAATAAAAAATAAAAATGAACATAGTAAACTGGTCCCAGGTGTTTTACCTTCTTCTTCAATTGGTAATATGTTGGTGTTTCTCCTCAAAGATAAAGAATCTTCATCTTTTTCATAATTTTCTAAAAGATAAAAATATTTTATAGTAATTTTTGTATATATAATATTGTCAAGCACTTGAATTTTTCTAATTCCACTGTATTTATTTGAAAGATGAGATTTTGTTTTTTGCAAGTAAGCTCTTCAATAACCATGTGTATTGAAAGGGAAATTTTCCTATTAATTGGGATTAGAAAATTAAAACTTTCTCCAGTCATTTTCCTGACCCCTAGTACAACAGGAAGGAGCTCTGGTAGCATAGTGCCTAAAGCACTTGATTGCTAACCAGAAGGCTGGCGGTTCAAACCCACCAGCCACTCCTCAGAAGGAAGGTTGGGCAATCTTCTTCCATAGTGATACCGCCTCGGAAACCCAAGGAGGGGTCTCTATGAGTTGGGGCTGACTCGATGGCACATAACAACAACAACAGTACAGCTGGAAGCGTATATGCTGTAAGTACCAGAATGGTGAACAGTTTAAGAAATGAAACACATTCCAGACAACAGCCTGACTTGTATCAATAAATGTTTACCTCACTAGGCCACCTGGGAATGGCAGTCATGTGCAGACAGCCTCAGGTATAAACTGCTTATGAATGATATTTCCAAATATGGAGTTACATTCAATTCCATCAAGGTTGAGTACTTAAATCATGCTGTTGTTGTTGCTGTTGTTGTTATGTACCGTCGAGTTATCTCCAACTCATAGCAACCCCTCCTTGGGTTTCTTAGGTTTTCTTAGGCAGTAAGTAGATTGCCCAATCTTCCTTCTGAGGAGTGGCTGATGGGTTTGAACCACCAACCTTCTGGTTAGCAGTCAAATGCCTTAGGCACTACACCCCCAGAGCTCCCACTTAAATCATGGGCCCACATAAATAAGCCAGTCACAACAGGGTCTCTTAAAGACCCAACATGACAATGGCAGAAGTAAGTGACCATGCATGCACTCATTGGGAAACGATGATTGAATGAGTAGGATGGAAAGACATTTGCTTTATTCAGAACCCCATTCTATAGTTAAGGGACTCTGGCTCTAAATAATCCCAAGTTTATTAAAATTCCTATTCACTGGGTTCCTAATGAATAGTTGGGAGTAGAAAATGTTCTTTAAATAAATTACTTCCAAATTAGAAAAAAAGAAAGCTAACAAAGTTCCAATAGAAAGCCCGATTATTTTGGTATTACCTTTGCTCATGCTGGCATTAAGAGGTGACAGAACTGTATCTTTTGTGATGTCCTCCACCGGTGTGAGCTCAGCTTCCTGCTTTGTCCCTCCTCTCCTCATTAGTGTCAGGTGCACAGTTTGTCCTGTGTGTCGCAGCACCTCTACTGCTTGTTGATTGGTGAAACCCTGAAGGTTTGTGCCATCTACCTGTGAGGAGGACAAGACGTGTTGAAAAACTACACACACACACGCGTGCGCGCACACACACACAGACATTTGCATTAGCCATTCACAAAGTGCCTATTTACTGCTTGTTACTGTGAAGAGTGGGGAATGGGCAATGATAGCCAATGGTTGTTTGGAAACCAGTATTACCTTTGCTGCTGTAGAATCACTTGGGAGGGTTTCAGCTGTTTTGTTTAATGCAGATGCTGGGGTTGCTCCTAGAAATGATGAGCCAACAGTTCTAGCATGGGGCTCATGCTTCTGTGTTGTTGTTAGCTGCCTTTGAGTTGGCCCCCAACTCACAGTGACTCCATGCACAACAGAACGAAATGTGGCCCAATCCTGTTCCATCCATCTCCATGACCAGTTGTGGATCAGACCACTGTGATCCCCTAAGGTTTACATTCAGTTTTGTAAGTAAATCGCCAGGTTAGATTCCTAGTCTGTCTTAGTTTGGAAGCTCTATGGAAACCTGTTGAGCATCATCACAATACACAGCAAACACTGACAGATGGGTAGTGACTGTGCTTGAGGTGTATCAACTGGGACTCAAAGCCTGGTCTCCCACACAGGGGGCAAGAATACTATCACTAAACCCCCAATGTCTTCACACTTCTGTATCTTCTTTTATATCCTCCAGGTAATCCTGATGCACAGTCAAGTTCGAAAACTAGTACTAAAAAAGATGAAGGTAAACAAGACAATGATAAGAGTGGTCACTGAGAATGCTTTCTCCAAGACCACATTAATACTTTTTATCTAAAAAAGAAAACAAAACTGTCTTCCTTATCATTTCTTTGCCTCTACTAAAATACGTGATTCTCTCTTTTTCTGGTTCACAAATGACAAAACATTTGAAAATGCCCCTATGACTTTTCAAAACTTCAATTACATTAATCTTACCCAAACCCTGTCTTTCAGAGACATTCCATAAGACAAGACTCCAAATCTTTAACATGGTCTATAGTTTGTCAACTGCCTCACTTTCCATCATTATCACCACTCACCATCGCCAACTTCATCTTACATGATGTCCTCTATCCCAATGGCCTCATTTCCATCCTCCTGACTTGCAATGTTCCCTCCACTGGAGGGAACCATGCAGTCTCTATAAGTATTGGTACCCAAGCCTGGACCACTGGACAGTCTACTCTAGCTCATACTTTCTCATTGCTTCACTTTAAAAACATTGAAAATTGCTTCACATCTCAGTCTAATAGAGAATTCCATAATTAAGCTATCATGATCTCTCTGACTATGGTCAAATTCCCCTTTGCCCATCCTTCTTCATAGCATTTAGCATGATTTAGTTTTACATTTTCTGTAGATATTTGTCCTATGACTGTATGTTCCATTAGGGCAGGCTCTGTGCCATTTTGTTACATCTGCATAATCAAAATACAGCACTGTAGATGTTCATCCCAAATAAGGGGACAGAGCCATTGGCTCATATGCCAAAGATTTATTTGTAAAGCAAATTCCTTTTGGAATAAATGCAAAGTATAACAACATATTTAAACAAAATAAAATCACAGTGAAAACAGTTTGGAAAAGTGCAAAAGTAATTTAATGTTGACATTCCAAGCCACTGATGTTCCTTTTAAATTGTGAAAGAGCTGTAAGGACGATGCTAGCCATAGTCGGCACTGAAATGAAGTATTCATTAAATAAATGAGAATGAGAGTAAGTCCTAGATTGATGGTGTCTAATCTGAAGTATCTGTACTGCAGAGATTTCCAGAAGAAAATATTAGAACTTCTAATTAAACATACTTATAATTTCATCTTTATTTTATATGTGTGTGTGTACAAATATATATGTTTTTATAATATATTAATTAGTTGTTAAATTGTTAATGGACACACAGAAGGGAAGAGAAAGAGGGAGAAAGGAGTGAGGGTTCTTTTTTTGCAGAAGAGGGTTATCATTCATACATTTAGAGACCTCTGATCTAGATGAGATTCTCATACTTTGTGGTTCCTTAACGCTTGTATTAAACTTCTGATTCAGATGGCAACTTAACATAGGCGTCTAACTTTTCCTCCTTCCCCCTACTCCTATTTTGGTGATTCATTATTGGAAAGACAGGAGCTCTGGTGGCTCAGTGCCTAAGGCATTTGACTGCTAACCAGAAGGTTGGTGGTTCAAACCCACCAGCCATTCCATGGAAGGAAGATCAGGCAATCTACTTCTGTAAAGATTTACCGCCTCAGAAACCCAATGGGGGATGCTATGAGTCAGAATAGAAGAGATGGCAGTGTGGGTTTTCTTTTTTTTTTTTTCTTGGAAAGATAAATAAAATATAACAGCAGAGAAAACACTGCAGTGAAACTGGAGACTAAGGAAGGACAAATGTCCCTACACCAATACCTTGAAGAATTTCTACTTAGCACACTCAGTGCAGCTTGCTAAGCCATCTCCCAACATACCCCAAAGCTATAGAGAGAACCTGAGCCTAGGCAAAAGGTCACAGAATATCAAAGGCAACAGCTGGTCTTTTTTTCTTTAGTTATATGCTTGTTATAGTAATTTACTTTATCAATCACAATCCCATACTCCATTTAGCAAGAATCACTGTGTGCTATCAATCTGAAAAATAGTATGTATGATCTGTGAAATGATGAAGTATGATCAACTTAAAAAAAAAAGCGTAATAGAGGCATTCTGTCAAATAAAATATTATGGAGAACTTCACATATAAAATGTAAAAAAAAAAAAGAAGATGAAAATAAACTCTGCACTCTATCCCTTGCCCAGTGCGTAAGAGTCCACAGAACAAAATTTTACCACAAGAATCTCATAGAAAAATAATTTAATGTTACAAAAAAATACTCCCTCAGAACAGAAAGAAACAATTTTGTAATTTTATCACCACCTTCAGTAACTACAAAATAAAAATAGACTCTAGCTCCAAATAGCTGCTGCCAAAACAAAAGCAAGGTATAGCCAAAGACTGCAGTTGAGAAAAAGCAACCAGATGGGGAAAACTTTCCTATTGCAATCTTAGAATTCCACAAGATAGCAATATTTTTCAAAAAATTAATGTATGAGCTAAAGCACTGCTTGATATGCCCCCAGGTGCTTCTAATGCTGAAATAAAGGAATGTTGCTATAAACAAAAATGAAACCTGAAAATCTAGATGACAGTGAAGAAAGTGATTTTAATAATGCAAGAAAGAACTCTCAGAGGAAAGAAAGTTACATCTTTGAGTGAGCAATGCCCTTTATCATTAACCATCCCATGGAGGCACAGTGGTAAAGTGCTCAGCTGCTAATGAAAAGGTCGGTGGTTCCAACCCATCAGCCGCTCTGCAGGAGAAAGATGTGGCAATCTGCTTCCATCAGGATTACAGCCTTGGAAACCCTACAGGGCAATTCTACTCTGTCCTATAGGGTCACTATGAGTTGGAACCAACTCGATACTAATGGGTTTGGTTTGGCTAAGGGGAATTATATTTGAGACTATATTTCTATAAGAATCAAGATAATGACAAGTTTGGAGGGAAGCTGTTGTGAGACTCTTTCAAATGTGTAATTAGCTCAGGTCCTCAATAAATATTCTCTTAATTACTACAATGGTACTATGTGCCAAGCATTAACTAGTCATCTTTGTAGGCATATGGATCTTATCCTATCACTGACAACATTGTACTTCAGGACAGATCTTGAAATGTTCTTTTTGAAGATGAATGCAACATCATTCCTCTTCAATTTGTCATTCCAGGCATAGTAGACCATATGACTCTCAGATTCAAAATGGCCACATACCAGTCCATTTCAGCTCATTAATGCCCAGGATATTGATCTTTGTGTGTTCCATTTCACTTTTAACAACTTTTCATTTCCTAGAAAGTGTACTAGAAATGTACTTCATACATTCCAAATTCTAATTATTAATGGATATTTATAGCTGTTTTCATTTTAAGTTGTCATACATCCACAAATAAAGGTTCAGAAAACTTTACTCGATCCATGTCATTAAGGTTGACTCCACTTTGAGCAGGCAGCACTTCCCCTGTTGTATGCTGAGTGCCTTCCAACCTGAGGGGTTTATCTTTCAGCTCTGTATCAGACAATGTTTCACTGATATTCATAAGGCTTTCTGTGGCAGCAATGTGCCAAGTTTTATACCAGGCATTTTAAATAAATTTTGTCATTTGGTTCTTATACAAAAATCATACCAGAACTATTCTTATCCCAATTTTATAGGTGAAGAAACTGAATCAAGAAGCTTGCTAAATGGTCAGTACCATTGTTGTCATTGTTGTTAGGTGCCATCAAGTTGGCTCCGACTCATAGTGACCCTATTTACAACAGAATGAACCAATGCCCAGTCGTGCACCATCCTCACAATTGTTGCTATGCTTAGACCCATGTTGCAGCCCTATGTGAATCCATCATCTCCTTGATAGTCTTCCCTTTTCACACTGACTCTCTATTTTACCAAACATGATATCCTTCTCCAAGCACTGCTCTCTTGTGACAACATAACCAAAATATGTGAGACAAAGTCTGGCAATTCTTGCTTCTAAGGAGCTTTCCAGCTGTACTTCTTCCAAGATGTATTTGTTTGCTGTTCTGGCAGTTCGTGGTGTTTTCTGTATTCTTCACCAGTACCACAATTCAGACGTACCAATTCTTCTTCAATATTTCTTATCCACTGTCCAGCTTTCACATGCATATGAAGTGATTGAAAAGATCATGTCTTCGGTCAGGCACACCTTCAGGCCTTAAAACTGACCTCTCTGCTCTTTAACACTTTAAAGAGGTCTTTTGTAGCAGATCTGCCCAGTGCAATACAGCCTCTGATTTCCTGACTGCTGAGCTCTGGTAGCATAGTGACTAAGCCACTTGACTACTAACCAGAAGGCTGGCAGTTCAAACCCACCAGCCACTCCTTGGAAGGAAGGTTGGGCAATCTACTTCCATAGTGAATCCACGTTGGAAAACCAAGTCGGGGTGGCTATGAATCAGGTTCGACTCAACAGCACATAACAACAACAACACTTCTATGGGCATAGATTGTGGATTCAAGTAAAATGAAATCCCTAAGGACTTCAATCTTTTTTCCATTTATTGTGATGTTGTTTATTGGCCCAGTTGTGAGGATTTTTGTTTTCTTTAAGTAGAGGTGTAATCCAGAATGAAGACTGCAGTCTTTGATCTTCATCAGTAAGTGCTTCAAGTTTTCTTCACTTTCATCAAACAAGGTTGTGTCATCTGTGTATCTTAGGTTGTTAATGAGTCTTCCTTCAATCCTGATGCCACATTCTTCTTCATATACTCTAGCTTCTCAGAATATTTGCTCAGTCTTCCTTCAATCCTGATGCTACGTTCTTCTTCATATACTCCAGCTTCTCAGATTATTTGCTCAGCATGCTGATTGAATAAGTATGATGAAAGGACACAACCCTGATGCACACCTTTCTTGATTTTAAACCATTCATTATTCCTTTGCTCTATCTGAATGACTGCCTCTTGGTCTAGGTACAGGTTCCTCATAAGCACATTGTTTAGGAATTCTCATTCTTCACACTGTTATCCATAATTTGTTATGCTTTGCACAGTCAAAAAGACACAGGTAAACATCATTCTGGTATTCTTTGCTTTCAGCCAAGATCAATCTGACATCAACAATGATATACCTCTCATTCCACACACTCTTCTGACTCCAGCTTGAATTTCTGCAAGTACCCTGTCAATATACTGCTGCAAACAGTTTTGAAATATTTTCAGCAAAATTTTATTGTATGTGATATAGTTCAATAATTTTATATATATAGATAGATAGATAGATAGATAGATAGATAGATATAGATATAGATATAGATATAGATATAGATATAGATATAGATATATATAGATCTCTTCCAGTCAGTTGGCCAGGTAGCTATTTTCTAAAGTTTTTGGCATAAATGAATGAGTGCCTCTAGTGCTGCATCCATTTGTGGAAACATCTCAATGGGTATTCCATCAATTCCTAGAGCCTTGTTTTTTTTTCCAAAAAAAATTCCTTCAGTGTAGCTTGACCTTCTTCCTTCAATACCACTGTTTCTTCATCATATGCTATCTCCTGAAATATGAGAACTTCGGCCAATTCTTTTTGGTGCAATGACTCTACATTCCTTCTATCATCTTTTGATGCTTCCTGCATCATTCAACAACAATTTGCCCACAGAATCCTTCAATATTGCAATTCAGGGCTTAAATATTTTCTTTAGTGCTTTCTGCTTGGGAAATGCTGAGCATGTTCTTCCCTTTTAGTATTATAATTTCAGGTCTTTGCACATTTCATTATAAGCTTTACTTTGTCTTTTTGAGCCACCCTTTGAGTTCTTCTGTTCAGCTCTTTCATTTAATCATTTTTTCCATTTGCTTTAACTACTCTGTTCAAGAGCAAGTTTCAGAGTCTCTTCTGACATCTATTTTTGTCCTTCCTTCTTTTCTTGTCTTTTTAATGACCTTTTGCTTTCTTCATGAATGATGTCCTTCATGTCATCCAACAAGTCATCTGGCCTTTGGTCATTTGTGCTCAATGCATCAAATGTGTTCTTCAGAAGGGCTCTATATTCAGGTGGGATATACTCAAAGTTGTATTTTGGCTCTCCTGGACTTGTTTTAATTTTCTTCAGCTTCAACTTAAACCTGCATATGAGCAAGTGATAGGCTGTTCCATAGTCAGCTCCTGACCTTGTTCTAACTAATGTTATTGAGCTTCTCCATCACTTCTTTCCACAGATGTGGTTGATTTGATTTCTGTGTATTCCACCTGGCAAGGTCCACATGTATATATAAGAAGCAACTTTGGGACTGGTCTCTAGCTTATGGCACACTTGAACCCTGCATGTAGCCGAGTTGTTGTTCAGCAGCCTGCCATGCTCTGCCCATCCTGGGACTTCCAAGGGACTTGAATCAATGTCCTGCCATGCTGTTTTGTAATATCAGACTGTGCCTTATTCTTGTCAACCTTGGGCTTGTTAGCCTCAGCAGCCAGTAGCTACCTGAGTGAAGAGATGCTTCTAGCTTCAGTGGGCCAGGAGCAAGAGTCAAAGCTGAAGCCCAAGGGCTTCACACAGCCCCTAGAACCTGGCACTTTGAACTCAGACTTCTAGCCTCCTCAACTGTAAGAGAATAAATTCCTGTTGTTCAAGCCATCCCATTTGTGGTACATTCCAGTCAGAATGGCACTAGGTAAACAGAAGTCTTCATTATTCACTGTCCAGCTTTTGTATAGATTTGAGGAGACTGAAAATACCATGGCTTGGATCAAGCTCACCTTAGTTTTCAAAGGGATATCTTTTCTTTTTAACACTCTTAAGAGGCCTTTTGCAAGCAGACTTGCCTGATGCAATACATCATTTGATTCCTTGACTGCTGCTTCCATGGATGTCATTGTGGATACAAATAAAATGAAATCCTTGACAACTTCAATGTTCTCTCCATTTACCATGATGTTACTTATTCATTCAGTTTGAGGATTTTTGTTTTCTTTACATTAAGATGCAATCCATATTGAAGGCTGTAGTCTTTGATCTTCATCAGTAAATGCTTCAAGTTCTCTTCACTTTCAGCAAGCAAGATTGTGTCATAAATCACAAAATGGTTATTTTTCATTATATGATAAAATGGAGACACAGTGGGAAAAGCTCATTTCCAGCATGTAGCTTGGTTAACTAGTAAGCACAGCTTGGTCTCTAGAGTAGAACTCAAGAGGTTAATTAATAGGTTTAAGTAGGAGTTTCAAAGAACTAAAAACAAGAAGACTCAGTACAGTTACAATGTGGAAGCAAAGGGCAAGGTTAAAGGATCTTTATCTGAACCTACTACTTTCTAACTGTTCTTATTGTTATTATAATCCCAAGAGAGTAAAAAAACAAACTCACTGCCATAGTGTCAATGCTGACTCATAGTGACCCTGAATTGGGTTTCCAGGCTGTAAATCTTTATGGAAGTAAACTGCCTTACCTTTCTTCCACAGAGCAGCTAGTGAATTCAAACCACCAACCTTCTGGTTTTTAGACAACTGCCTTAACCACTATACCACCAGAGCTCATTAAGGGATTAAAAAAAACAAACAAACTTAAAAACCAAAAACCAAACTCACTGCCATCATGTCTGTTCTGAACCATAGAGACCACACAGGACAGAGTAGAACTGTCCCATAGGATTTCCAATACTTTACAGAAGCAGACTGCCCCATCCTTCTCCATGGTGCGGTTGGTAGGTTCAAACCACCAACCTTTTGGTTAGCAACAGAATGCTTTGACCACTGTGCCACCAGAGCTCCAACAGAGACTTAAGGATAAATAAATACACATTAGATTAATCAGCGTTTCCCCAGGATGACTTCCAAAGATTATTAATATAGGTTTGGGAAAAGAAAGATCCCAAAATTAAGAAAATTTAGGAAATGTTGAGGTAAAAAGTTAAACAGTTTTCTCTACTACAGGACTTCTCAGGGTCTTTGGATTTCCAGTGTGCTTTGTGAACTTCTAAGACACCATTGCATCTGCATGTTTTCCAAAACGCATTTGACCAGGAAATGCTTTGTTCAGAATTTCTTGAATTTGTATTCTGGGAAGTAGTTGGGTAGTTTGGGGAATCCAATTTCCACTGAGGACAAAGCTGAATTCCTTGACACACGAGTTTAAGTAGCCATCGGATTAAAATATACTAATGATCACCACTTTTAAGATTATAATGATGACCTTGATATAATTAATGAGAGATGGATATATTTCTTTTGAAGAACGTCTTGCCCATGGAGCCACCAATAACAATGCCATTCTGCTGATCACAAGAGAAGATAAAATAAGCATTCCAAAATCAGATGCAAGTACACTAAAGATTTTGACATTGGTCACTCACTGACTTTGGAAAGTCTGTAACTAAAATGTAAGTGTGACATTAATTAATGCAGCAAATTCATTCCAACCAGAAATTGAATATATCAGAAATTATTCAAGCAAGAAGTTCCAAACTCGAAAATTGAGATCAGTAAAACTTCTGTTCAATACTTTCCTTTGTTGTTGTTGTTGTTGTTACTTGCCGTTGAGTCAGACCCAACTCATAGCAACCCCTCCTTGGGTTTCCTAGGCAGTATCACTACAGAAGTAGATTACTCAACCTTCCTTCCAAGGAGTGGCTGGTGGGTTTGAACCGTCAGCCTTCTGGTTAGCAGTCAGGTGCCTTAGGAACTATGGCACCAAAGCTCTTATACTTTCTTTTACCTTCACAAAATTATTATTTTGTCAGGTCATTGTAATGATAGCCTCAAGTCACTCCAGCAAGTTTAATTAATACTGAGGTAACTATAGTTCTTGAAACTAATTAGGAGAACTCATTTCTCAAACATGAAAATTACCAAAGCTATTATTAAATGTGTCACTTACTGCTATAATTTGGTCTCCAATTTGGATTCTTCCATCATGTTCAACAGCACTGCTTTTTGTAATGCTCTTTACAAAGATTCCTGAAGGTTCTAAGATTAAAAATAGGTTATTTGTCTGATTATCCACCCTTCATTCTCCAAATATAAAATACTAATTTTGCATAGATATATACTAACAAGCCACACAAACAAAAGCACTAGTAGAAACTTAGGCTATACAATAAGACAACTGTTTTGTCTATCTTAAATACAGTATCAGAATAGTCTATATTAAATTATTCCTAAAGAAGTTTTCAATCAGTTTATCAAATAATCTTAAAGCATGTAAAGCTGATTCAATATTTAATAAGACAAAGATATTAAAGGCAAATGCTCAGTTTTAAAAAAACAAAACATTTAATGTTTATAACTACCTAATTTTTTATCTCCAATGTAACCAGCAATAGTAATTCCTAATCCTTGAATATTTTTAGTGAGTTCCACATCAAATGTCTCACTTTCTTCACTTTTCTGAGTAGAAGCATCGACCTAAAACAAAATCCACAAATAAACAAAACAAGTTCAAAATTCTACAGCCTTTATTTAGAAATAATATATGATAATTAGGCATCAGAGAACTCTGCCAGAGAACTGCAGCAGAGATTACTCCTTTAGTCATGAGGATGTGGATTCAGCATCACATTTTTACTCAGAAAACAGTAGCAGCAATAAAGCTGAGCCTCCCATTCTCAGGGAGGAACATTACTGTTTGTGTACACAGAGTTTTAAAAAATCAATTATTTTCCTATTAAGAACACCTATTATCAGAGATGGCTCATCTTCATTTCTATAAAAGTTGGGACATAATACAGTGGACAGAGCTCACGTTTTAATTCAGATAAACAAGTACAAGTCTAGCTTGCTACTTAATCTTTCTTCTGCTCAAGTATATAACAGGAATAATAAAAACAAGTTCAACTAACATTTATTGAAGATTTTCTAAGTAACAGGGAATTGACATGTCTAAATCCATTTGCTCTTAGAGCATACCTATGAGATAGGTATAATTATTATGTCAGTTTTCCTCTGAGGAAACTGAGACACAGAAACTTTTCTAAGGATAAACAGCTACCATCTATTACAGGAAGGATTCAAATCCAGAAAGTCTGGTTGCAGAGCCCCGGCTCTAAAATGATGCATTATATGTGAAGTACTTAGTAAAATGTAAAGCCAAAGGTTTTACATTTTTACTCACTCAGGAGATGTGAGTTCCTGTAGGGTCACTATGAATCAGAATTGACTTGATGGCAGTGGGTTTTTTTAATTATTATTATTATTGTTGTTCATTTGTTTTTTGCTTTTATTACTATTTTAAATTGATAGTTTATTCTAACACCAACAATTTGTTACTCTAGCCTCTGGACATGCAATTAATCTGCTAATGACTTAATTTTGAAAACCAGTGAAATGATTCAATGAACTATTTAAAATCCTCTTTAGTTGGTTTACAAATTAAGAATTCAGTATGAAAAATTATTTATAAAGAAAATTTACCGTTCTTCATTAATATCTTTCATTCCTGGAATAACAGCAGATTTCTCAAATTAGATTTCATTAGAATTATTATTATTTGAACTGAATATTGTATATTGAATTGAAGTGTAACGCTCACTTCCATAAACATTAGTAGACTGTTGCAATAAATCATCAATAAGCTATTGACACCAAGCACCACGTACTAGGGTGGTGTCAGCAGATTCTACAGAGAATCTTAAAAGAATGCAACAGGATGAGTTCTGTGGGCAATGGCATTACTAAAGGGGTGCAGGGTGAGAGGGAATGACACCAAAATGACTGTTTATAAAATTTTTGTGCAATGTTTTAGCAGACTTTTTTAAATAAAAATATCCCTGTAGTTAGTTATAACAACAAAAATAGTTTTTGAAAGCCCAGCTTACATGTATCAATATACCCACAAGGCTGAAACCCTACACTAATTTACTTTTTGAACCTCTTAATATGCTCAATTATTATCCATTCAATGATGTTTCGAATCATCAATCATATGGTTTTGTCTGCATATGTCACAAGCACGCAATTTTGTTTTTATTGCTGCCAGTGTTCTTATATTTTGTCGAATTTTCTGGTGTTTTAGCTATAATATTGTGGTAAAGAACATCTGTGAATCTATATCAATAACTTTTTTTTTGAGAATAAAGTAGTTGTTAAAGGAAAAAGAAGGAGAAAAATAAAAAAGTTTCTGCTCAGTTACTAATAATATTGTAACTATTAATGTAATTCAGTGTAGAAAATTTTGCAAAACAATTTTGTTATTAGTATTCATATAATCTAAGGAATATTACATTTAAGCAATCCATAACTATATCACATATTAGTCTATGATTAAAACTAATAATAAACATTTCCAAGGATTCCATATGGTCTGGTATGGGAGGAGCCCCATTGAGTGGGTGACACCATCAGTTACCGCACTGGTTGACACCAACCCAAGTGACATTACCAGCTGTGGGTTCTAATGGACATGAAGACTGAAGATTAGGTGGTATTGTTCTGATTTTCTTGAGAAAAATTATGACTGTATCTCACAGATAGCCCATCTAAATAAGATATAATTTTATAGTAAAGTTTGATTTATTTTTTTCTTTGCACATAATTATCTGTGCAAACTTAGCAAAAGTTTAAAGTTTAGATAATTACAAGAAAATGACAGGATGAAATCTGCTTCAATTGAAACAAATGTGTTTTCTATTTTTAATAAGACTTATGCAAGTGCTATTTTAGAGGGTGGCAATTTGACTATCGAATGGTTTTAAAAGGGGCACAAACTTCAGAAATGATTATATGCACAGAATAGATATTTCTCTAAGCATTCAATTACATCAAGTGGTTTCGGTATTGCATTCATTTATATATTGCTGAATAAAATGTTTTATTTACCACAAAAGAATGCCATTTAAATAGTTTCATAAACAAGCTCTCTGTCTTTATTTCTTTCCCTTTGCAAAAAATAGCAACCAAACTCAATATTAAAAACAACAGAATCATAGAAGTTGCAAGTGTTCTAAAAGCTTTAAAGGGCTTATAGAGGAAGTCAGGATATTACAAAAATAATTTGTAGCAACCAGTCAGAAAAAACATTAATACAAAAATATACATAAATGCTTTTATATGAATGGGAAAGGATTATAGGACTTGCATTTTCCATAAAGCTTACTTAGAAATTTGTTGTAATTTTCTTCTCAAAAATGTAAGTAATTTCTAAATAAAAATATTTTGTAGATATTTTATTCACCATAAACTTGTGACCTGTAAACTATTTGAGATAACCACCACATTCCAATAGTTTTGAAATTTTCTAGCCTTTTTCATAACAAATCTTGCAAGGACAAAGATGGACTGATATGGTTATGAAGAAAGCTTTTGTTACAACCTCAAAAGCATGACTTTTGTTTAACAAAGAGAATATAACTGGGTTGACAGCAGCAACTTCTTACTATAAATCTGTTAACCATTCTATGACATACCTTAAAACAATGAGACTGAATGTGGTAAGCTTTCTTCACCCCCACCAAACCTGCCCCCAATGTCTCAACCTCCACACATTAAAAAAAAAAAAAAAACTTATAAGAAAATTGTGCAAGGGGAATGATTGGAGCTTAAGATTTACCTCAAGAGACTAGAACTAAGAGAAAGATAGAATTAAACATTTTAGGGATCAGTAGAAAATAATTTATACTTCAAAATATTCTTATGAATGTACTGCTTACAGAAAAATGAAAAACAGTAATCTAGAATTCTCTAACAACCTTCATTTTTATCTGTTATATAGTGCTTCTGCTTAACAAAACACTGTCAGTGCTAAAATGTACTTACGTTTGAATTCTGTTTCATTTTTAACACTAATATATGAATATTAATAATTCTAGTTTGTTAATAAACACCACTGTCATCTAAATACAAGAAGCTCTGGTGCTATAGCAGTTAAGGCATTTTGCTGCTACCAAAAGGTCACTTATTCAAACCCACCAGCCAGCTGCTCCATGGAAGAAAGGTAAGGAAGTCTGTTTCTGGAAAGATTTACAGCCTTGGAAACCCAATGGGGGTCACTATGAGTTGGAATCAACGTGATGGCCATGAGTTTGGTTTTTGGGTTTTCTCATCTAAGTGTTATCGTCTCTTTCACGTGAACTGTTTTTCCCGACTTACCCGGGTCTCTGGCATGGAAGTTGGGGATGAGGAGAGGGTGATGCCCAAAGAGGTGGGTGCTGTTGCTTCTTCTACGGCCCCTCTTGCGATCACCAACTTCACTCTGCTTCCACATTGCCTGAGGACTTGTGCTACTTGCTCACTGCTCATTCCTGCTAGATCTGTGTCACCAATCTTTAGAATATGGTCTCCGCTGCACAGACGCCCATGCTGAAAAAAGGAGAATAATCAGGCTAATATTATTTTGCATGTATTACAGAAAGTGGGGCAAGGGAACAATAAAAAATGACAATGATATGAATTTCCTATCATGGGATAATAAACGTGATTATAGTATTAACTGTCTTCTGAAACATTCTAGCACTAGTCAATATGATATGTTATTGAAATTCACAAACATTCCTTGAATCAATAGTTATAAACATTTATTTGACTTACACCCATTAGACGCAATAAAACATTGAGTCTTTTTTAGTTTTCTTGAGTGATAAAAAAGAAGAAAATGCCTTTAAACAAAGTTTGAAGTTGCTATGCAAACACATGCAACTACGCTTAAAATGTGGTATAAACCCCTACTAAACAAAGGAGCTCTGGTAGCGTAGTGCCTAAGGCACTTGACTGCTAATCAGAAGGCTGGCAGTTCAAACCCACCAGCCACTCCTCGGAAGGAAGGTTGGGCAATCCTATTTCGTAATGATACTGCCTCGGAAACCCAAGGAGGGGTCGCTATGAGTCGGGGCCGACTTGACCGCAAATAACAACAACAACAACAAACATGGGATTAATAATACAATAACACAATTTTCTGGTTGGCCATTTCAATTATAAATGTTCCTGAATGACTCATCTTCAGATGAAGCCCTTGTGAGATAAAAGTTCAGACATTTGAGGCAAGTGAGAACAGTCTTACAAGACTCCAGACAAGCATTCCCCAGAGCTTCTTGTGACGATGGGGGTGTTCTGCACTGCCCTATAGCAGCCACTGGGAACATGTGACTAAGGAGCACTTGAAACATGGCTGGTCCAACTCAGAAATTAAAGTTTTCATTTTATTTAACTTTAATTCAAATTTTCAAAGTGACATGTGGTGAGTGGCCAGAGTACTGAACAATGTAGCTCTCTACCGAAAATAAAGCACATCACAAACCTGTAAGGTGGGGAGCTTTCACTTCACACAGCTAAACAAGTTGCCACAAAGTTGATTCTGACCCATGGCAATCCCACGTGTGCTCCACTAGGTTTTCAATGACTGGTTTTTTAGAAGTAGATCACCAGGGCTTTCTTTCAAGGCATCTTTAGATAGACTCAAACCTCCATTTCAGTTAGCAGCCAAGTGTATTAACTATTTGTACTACCTAGGAACAAATAATTTTTGATTCTGCTCAGAAAAAAAAAAAAAAAAACCCAACTCACTGCTGTCAAGTTGCTTCTAACTCATAGAGACTCCCAGTTGGGTTTTGAAGGCTGTAAATCTTTACAGAAGCTGATTGCCTCATCTTCATTCCACAGAGCAGCTGGTGGGCTCAAACCACTAACCTTTTGGTTAGCAGCCAAATGCCTTAACCACTGCACCACCTGCTAGATGGCGATTAATGTTTAAAAGGAAGAAATGTTTTGCATACTATTACACTATTGTTAATACCTATACTGACAAGGTCACCACTAAATGGGATCTTCATTTATGAACATGAAAAATGTTTGATGAACCTGACTTCCATGTGTGATGTTCCAATACATGCAAAAACAGATGGGTTTATAATACAGAAGTTTATAATCAAGGTGAAAATTATTTAAAGTGGCATAACTTTTCAAATTAAAACATATGTCATAACTAAAAATTTTATTAGAAGTTTTTTCACATATACTGTAACAATGTCACATATCACAAATAGCAATGCTTATATGAGCTACTCTAAGTAATGAAAATAGACCGTGCTTCATATATAAGATAACACAAGTGACCTACAACTGAAGAGACAAATTTTTTTTTCCTCTTACTAATAAATATGTTTTCCCATAATATCTTGTGGCTATAAAACAGCTAACTAACTTTACAAATATGGCTTATGAGTGCAAACAAAAGGAAGCTACCTCTACAATGACAAAACCAGAAAGCTGGCGGTTCAAACCCACCAGCCACTCCTAGGAAGGAAGGTTGGGCAATCCTACTTCTGTAGTGATACTGTCTCAGAAACCAAAGGAGGGGTCGCTATGAGTCGGGGCCGACTCGGCGGCACATAACAACAGCAACAACAATTAATAAACATTCTTTCCCCATAATATCTTGTGGCTATAAAACAGCTAATTAACTTTACAAATATGGCTTATGAGCACAAACAAAAGGAAGCTACCTCTACAACGACCAAAACTATAACCTTGGTTTTCACTTATGGTTCTAAATGTCTTACCATCATTGTTTATAACTATAACTTGGGATAAATGTCTTTTTTCAAATGTAATTTTCCCCAGTTCTAAGAGAACACTTTAGGGATCCAAAAACCAAAAAACCAAACCCACTGCCATCAAGTTGATTCCAACTCATAGCTACCCCCATTGCGTTTCCAAGGCTGCAAATCTTTACAAAAGTAGATTGCCCTGTCTTCCTTCCATGGAGTGGCTGGTGGGTTTGAATTGACAACCTTCTGCTTAGCAGCCAAATTGCCTTAGGCATTGCACCACCAGAACTCCTTACATTAAGGATAGCTCAGCAAAACAGAAGATTCTAACCCAGGTGCTTTGACATTATCAAAGTCCAAAACTGCTTCTTTATAATAGAAAATATAAAAATCAGCAGCTATATTATTTGATAAAACATCACCAAACACCTTCTGGAGTATATTACCTGATCAGCTACCCCTCCAGGTAGAATGGTTTTGACTATCACACCAGTGGCTTTTCCTCCTATGATGCCAAATCCCAGACCAGATCCATCATTCACCAACTCAATAGTTTCCACATGCTGCCAGTGAACCTGAAAATAAATCTCCAATATAATCTTTGTGAGTTTATTATTCTGGGATTAGTATAAAATCATTGAATTCAGACATAATAATAAGTTCTCACAATGTACTCTTCACTTTCATTTGGTGTACAAGTAGTCCCCAATTTATGACAGGGTTCTATTTCAACAACTCTATCACAAGCCAGTTCTGACATAAATTGAATACTTCATTTATTTTTTAGTTTTCATTGCTATTGCCATTTATTATCAGAATCTTTATAAATCTGATCTTTATTTGTCTTTGTGAGTTGGAAACTTACACATATATTTTTAAATTGTATATAGTACGTATTACTAAACCTACTGCCATGGAGTTGGTTCTGACTCCGAGTGACCCCCACTGGGTTTCCAAGGCAGTAAATCTTTATGGAAGTACATATTACTAATGATTTGAAAAAAAAGGCAGTTGTAAATGTGGTTCTGTAAAACTAGAATACATTGTAAATCAGGGACTATCTCTACTTCACTTTCAACAGATAGTTACTGGTATTGATATAATCATTCTTGAAACCATAAATGCATCATTACAGTAATTGCACTGCATTTAACTAGATAAAGATAGGCACTTACTTGTAAGATTCTTTGCAAAACTTCTAAAAACAAAAAAGGAAAAAGATGAAGGAAAAAACTGTTACCTGTTAAGATGTCTTCTGCATAATCCTCTCTGGAGGTAGGATTCCAAATGAGATGACTACATAAAGTCACTGACAGCTAACTGTATAATATAATTCTATAATTTACAGAGCAAAATAAAGATTATATCTCTCTACAGATAAAGTTGATCTTGGTAAAGTTCTAAATTTTCTTTGAGAAATGCAGTCATGTAAAAAATACTACAAGGAAAGGCAAAACTTGTTTCAGGAGCTATATAAACTTAATCATGATTAAATAACAAATAAGGTAAAGGCAGATTATAAAGAAAACTGCAAAAACTCAAGAAGTACAAAGAAACTACAGGAAATGGAAACTTCTGGACTACCAAAATAAACCAGAAAAATTCTCTTCTTGAACATCCATACCCACCGGATTGGAGTGAGCTGAAACAGTGCTGGCTGCAGATGGAGACCGGGACACTATAGGGCTGATGAGCTGAGGCAAGGAGCCTCGGGCGATCACTAGCTGGACATTATCTCTGGCTTTCTGAAGGATGCTAATAGCCTGTTGATGTGTGATTGTCTGATCAAGTGCCTGCCCATTGATAGCAAGGATTTGATCAGTTTCCTTCAATCGTCCATCTCTATCAAGGATGAAAAACAGAATGAAAAGAGATGACAGCTCTCCTGGAAAGGACAGCTGCTTTGACACATATTTTGGGTTGTTTTTAATCCTGTTTTCTTATTTCCACCCTTTTTAAATCTTTTCCTTCAGTTCTACTTTTAAAAATAATGTTTTGGCTCCAGGTGATCAATTCTCTTTGAAGGTAAACCCACTGCCACTCCTAGTCAACCTCTTCCATTTTAAAATCCTCTTATTTCATCTATGTACTCAACTCAACTCTTAAGGAGCTCTGGTGGCATAGTGCCTAAGGCATTTGACTGCAACCCCAAAGGTTGGCAGTTTAAACCTAGTAGTCACCCCATGGAAGGAAGATGGGGTATTCTATTTCTGTAAAGGTTTACCACCTCGGAAACCCAATGGGGGTTGCTATGAGTTGGAATCGTCTCAACAGCAGTGAGTTTGGTTTTTTGGAATACTCAACTCTTACTATTACATTTTGGATGTTTCTATCTCCTGAAGATGAAAGCACCCATTGCCAGCAAGTCAATTCTGACTTATAGCAACCCTACAGGACAAAGACACCATACATCAGTGGGAAACAAGGCTGTCACCTTTACTGAAGCAGACTGCCACATCTTTCTCCCTCAGGGAATTCTAATCATTGATGTTTTAGTTAGAAGTCGAGTGCTTAACCCCTGCACCACCAGGGATTGTCCAAAAATGAAAGCACAGATGCCTATATTTACTTAGTATTTTGAGTACATTAATTAAATATGGCCCAAATATCATGGGTCATTTGTATATTTTTCTGTATAAAAATTTCAAAAATCAAATATAAAGAACCCATCTAACAATAGTGAAAATGATGCTCTACTCAAAACTTTCTTTCTTTACTAAAAATGAATTAAGTTATGACTATATGTAATTGTTGTTGTTAATAGCAACCCTTATTTCAAAGGACTTGTTCTTTTTACTACAGCAGTGTTAAAATGTATCCAGTTGCTGTTGAGTCGATTCTGACTCATGGCAACTCCAGGAGTGTGAGCAGAACTGTGTTCCACAGGGTTTTTTTCAGTGGCTGAATTTTCAGAAGCAGGTCATCAGGTTTTTCTTCTGCGGCATCTCTGAGTGGACATGAACTGCCAACCTTTCAGTTGGCAGTCGAGTGTATTAACCACCCAAAGGCTAAAACTAATGACAGATTATACTCAGGTTTTTGTTTGTTTGTTTGTTTTATTTGTTTTTGTTTTCTTCAGATACTCCGATGGTGATCAAAGTTTTCTGACTGTGGTATCAAAAAGAGACAAGATGCTGTGAGTCTCACCTGTGAGCCACACTGCCCTCCTGTATTTCTTGCACAAAGATTCCCAGTTCTCCTCTGTTTTCACTCCTTAGTCCCACAACACTAAACCCAAGGCCTCCACTTGATGGTTTGAGGAGCTCAAAAACCTCCACATGGCGACCCTGTGAAGGAAATGAAGCAGGAGATACAATTAAAAGCCATACACTGTAGTGACCGTCATAGTATTAGTGGCATCATTTTGGTTTAAAGAAAAAAAAAAAAAGGAAGTAAGTAATTTTTTTTTTTTAACATAACATTTATTGCTCATCATCTAGATAGGACATTTTATTTATCCTGAGGCATATTTCTGGAAAACAACCCATAATACTTAGTCTTAAATCCAATAACAATGACATGAAAAATTTAATACAAAAAATCTCTAAACCATCCAAACTCCCACAAACTATACTTTTTTAAATTCCATTTTTTCTCAGATGTTATGGATATCACTATATTCTTCAAATTAGCCAAAGACATGATCACACTCTTGTTACATATTCTATCATAACTAAGAGGTAGAGATGTTCTCACCTGAGCCATATTTTTGATCAGCTGATCGAAGTCATCACAAGTGGATTTCCCATTGGTGTGTGGAGTCCCAGATCCCATAAGTGCTTCCACATTCCCATTATTTGGGGACAATAAAAATGATTCATTTTGTGGAGCAGAAATTACAGTTGGACTGAGATATGGAATGTGGCCACTTTCAACATCTGAAGTCATGGAAGTTGCAATGTTTACCTAAGGGAAATAGAGAGACTGTTAATCATTTTGACATCCTATAACTCTTCCAGAGAAAACATATCAATAAGAGAAATAATAAAGCACATACAAAATTTCAGAAATTTCATAGCCTTGATCCAGCCATTTTACTTTAAGAAATTTATTTCAGGGAGGAAAAATCAGAATAGTATACAAAGATGGATATACAAAGATATTCAAGGCAGCACTATGTATTAGATGGGGGAAAACAAACCAACCTACCAACCTCTCCATTGTTCAACTTCAGAGAACTCATTAAAACATACACATAAACTTAGACATCCATATACACAGTTAAGAGAAAAAGGCAAAATGAATAGTAGGATCCTATGTATATTATTTAAAAAGAGGTTTTTGTATACATTAGGCAGCTGTAAGAATAGACATCAATCAATAAACACTTGTTGTTCCTGAGAGATGAGAACCAGGGGGTCATTTACTTTGTTCACTGCTTGTTTTTTTATAAAGATGCATAAAAGAGATGCCTGGCCTTTGTCCACTACCCCTGACAGATATCTGGAGTGATTAAGAGTGTTTTTTTTAACTCATGGTGGGCCCCTCTGGCTGTTAGTTTGTGCTGATGAAGTGATTCTTGATAGACCCCTCAGGCACTGTGATACATGCCTGGTCTCCAGGGAGGAAAGAAGAAAAAGTCTGAATTCAACTACATGGGCAATCAATCAATCATCAATCAGGTAATGAAGCTTCAATCAAAACTCTGTACAACAAAACTAGAGTCAGCTTCCCGGTTTGGCAATATTCCATGTGTACTGTCACATATCAATTCTGGGAGAGTAAAGCATCATCAGGACAAGGGAAGTTTATTTAGCATTTGGAACCCTCCTACTCTCCCCCATGCAGCTCTTCCTTCAGCTGATTTTTAACCTGTATTCTTTCCCTGTAGTAAGCCACAACTGTGAGTATATTAGCTTTCAAGGAATTCTGAGCATCCTTCAAATGAATTATCAAATGTAAAGGTGGTTTCCAAAATCCCCCAAACTTGAAGTTGGTGCCAAAATTAAGTGTGGTCTTGTGTGCATTCTTTCCTCTAACATTATAGTTGGACCCTAACTCCTTGTATTTGGTCAGAAGTCTTGGGCAGACTTGGTAGTCTGGAGGACTGTGCTCTCAAACCTCACAGTTTAGCTAACTCCAGAGTACAATGTCATAGGTACCAACAAGAGGGGGGGGAAAAAAGATAATTTTAAATGGGCATACCTGTGTATGCTCATTATAAAGAACTCCAAGTTAAAGTTGAATAATTCATAAAACAATGCAGTCAATCCTGATTTCACATTTCTGTAACGTACTTGGATTGTGGTTTTTTTATTTACAATTAGTTATCAAGCAGGTTACATCAATGATGTTTTGTATTACCTTCCAGACTCATATTCTACCCCTTCAACCCTTTCTAACTTGGCTCCAGCTGTACAGGACACCTCAAGTTTCCTCAAACTGCCAAGCTGCTATATATGTCATCCAGGTACATCCTTCCCCTCAATGGCCATATGACTTATTTCTTTATATTAATCAGGTGTGCTCAATAATAGAAGACCTCATAGAAACCACCCCTAACAACCCTATCCAAGACATCAACTAGCACCATATTCATTAGCTTACCTTACCCCATTTTTCTTTATAGCACTCATCACCATCTGCCATATACCTTGTTATCTTGGAGCATCAATGGACTCAGACTATAATGAGGGATGGTCCAGCAGCGGGAATTGGACTATTTTATCCTCTACTACATCCTATCTTTTGAAGAGTTATTTCCACAGACTCGGCACTCAATATACATTTGCAGAATAAACGTTTATCCATTTTTTACAAACCTGATCTAATCTCCCCAACAACTCTCCAATTATTATCTCTATTTTTCAAATGATGAAATTGTACAAAGACACCCCATTAGTAAACAGTTTATGACATAGACTTTTCTATCATGGTGTTCCTATCATCTTTGTACTATACACAAAGCATATAGTCATTTGAGATATCATTTCTGGGAATAAGACATTAGGTAAAAAGCTTCCTTTGAGATAAGCTATTAAAATATTTTGTAATATACCATCAATCCACACTTAAGAGAGCATTACCTATCCTATCATCTATCCTACCTACAATCCTTTAATAAAACAGAAAATTCATGAGGTTATCAAAGTTACCAATAATTCAACCACTATATTGGCCACTAGACTCACAGATGAAAGAGATCAGCGTGTTGAAAAGGGGCATTTGGGAATCCTTTCAAATGCTTATTTTAAAATCTATAGCAGGCATGATCAATTATTATTTTTTTTTTTCTCAAAAGCAAGCTTCTTATGCCAAGCCTGGGTGTTTTTTTTTATCCTGAGCCATGGCAACTTCGATAAAGTCTGCTAACATAAGATACACCGCTCAGGTTGAAGCAGATGGTATAATGAAATCTGCGACAGGCTGAGGATCCCACACACCAGGACCTAATGCCTGTGCTATGTCTGCAAAGGAAAATAATATTTGGACTTCTGCTATAGTAAGCCAGAGTGAACAAATCACATTCCAAGAATAATCTATCTATAAGAAGTTAACTAGTGAAGCAGAAGCTCTGATATTCTGGATGACTAGATATAAAGGAATGAGCCCAGGTGGCACAATGGTTAAGCACTCAGTTGCTAACTGAAAGGTAAATGGTTGGAAACCCAGCAGGTCCGCAGAAGAAAAGACCTAGCAATCTATTCCTATAAAGATTACAGCACAGGAAACCCTGTGTTGCCATTCTACTCTGTCCTATCAAGTCACTATGAATCAGAACAAATTCAATGGCATACAACAACAGATGGGAAGACATTCTCAGAATGAAGTCAGTAGGAACAGAACAGGTATAATACTGTAATATGAGACACATATAAAAGTATTTAATATTAATATTATTTTCTTCTTCTAATTTGTTAGGGCTAAACCAATGTCAATGGCTATTTCTGATTTCTCCATGCCTTTTAGGTTTACATGCATGTAAAAGCAAATGTTGGAGAGATTACATTTTTTAGTTATCATTTAAATAGATCATCACACAATTTTTGTTCAGTTTGCACATTTATACCCATAAATCACAAATGCACCTTCAGTATCTGCTATACCTGCTCATCAAATGGCTTTCTGAATTATAATCTCCTTTGGGAATAGGAATGAATTTTATTTGCTTTGATAGGTCTATTCATAATACACTCTCTATAAATGTTTAATAAAAAGAACTTGACTCCAATCCTTGGTTTCTAGAATATAAAATAAACAGAAGAAAACACAAATATTTGGTGATTTTTATATATAGATAAACAATCTGTATAATTTATGGAAGTTGCTAGTAAATGAGCAAGAGTCACCAAATAATTATCTGTTGATCTCTGTTTAACTTCTGGCTATGTTATTTCAGTCTAAAATGGGTTTTCATGAGCTGAGTAAAGAGAAATATTTTAACTTAATTTATTGATTTTAATTAGTGCTGACACTTAAGGCATAACTTAAATGAAGGCTTTTTCTTTTTTTAATTGCTCAATTAAAAGGTTTGCAAGTTATTTATGAAAGGGAAGGATAAAACACCCTCTCAGTATTTAGAGGAATAGGAGAAGCCCTCTTCAGAGATGCAGTCTGAACGAGTAATTTGCTCAGTTTCTAGAAAGTGACAGTGAAAGGAGAAATCATAACATAGGAAAAATGCATAGATTAAGCACTTTATTTACATTAAAAATCTGTACATTCACAAATATTGACAGAGATAAGGATTTCTTTTTGCATATGGCTCAAAAAATGGTAGGCCACCATCTTTTTTCTTGCATAAATCACACTCACATCCTAAAGGTATTATTTTTAATTTCAGTTAATTTAAGGTAGAGCAGGAATTTTGAAACTTATGAAACAATTTTGGCAAGAAAGCCTTCTAGATTTACAAGAGATCATTTCTCAATATTTTACACTTTGTCCAAACACAACTAACTCATCAACAACTGTTTTATCTTTTCACCTACATAGACTTCGGAAGTAATTTCAATCACTTTTTACAAAAAAATTCTTTTGTCTTAAGTTTTTATAATTTTGTTGTTGTTGTTGTAAGTCATCAAGTTGATTCTGACACATATCGATCCAATAGGACATAGCAGAACTGCCAAGTAGGCTTTCTAGGCTGAAATATTAACAGTATCAAATTGCCAGGTCTTTTCTCCCATGGAGTGGCTGGTGGGTTCAAGCCAACCTTTCAGTTAGTGGCTGAGCAACTACTATTACACCACTAGAGCTCTTATGTTATATAATAAACTCATGTAATTATAATATTAAGTACAACTGGTATAAATATATATTTTAAATCACTGACTTGTGATAAATGTACACTTAATTGGTGAGAGCTGCAAAGAGCAAAGCTAGTGAGTATCTCAATAGAAGAGTTTGAGTGTTCTGAGCATCAGGAGAAATGGACAATTATTTACTTATTTATTTACTGCCTACAATGGTGCCCAATAGAGCTGATTCTAGAGAAGCAAAAGAGCAAAAATTCTCTTTCTAGATACAATTAAACTCACTCAGTGAGAATGGATGTATCAAACTAACCCTTTCACAAAGAACAACTAGAAAATCTGTATAAAGAGCTATTAAAACAACAACAGCAAGTTTAAACTATCAAAAACACAGACACACAAACAAAAATAAACAAATCAAAAACAAAAAAAGGGCCCCAGAACATAAAGAAACAAGATTCTGGAGAATGAAAAAAAAAATGCAATGAGGTAAGCACTTAATTTCTTCCACATATGCCACTAATTTTCCCCCCTTGAGAGGTATGCTGATTCTCTGGAGTGTTAGGTAGCAATATTCCTGGGCAACCGTGACACACTATGTAGTTTAGTGCTACTAAGTCTGCCAGGATTTTAGCATCCAAGATCCTGGAGAGGAGAAACCTGAATATGAGTAAGCCCAAAATCTTAGTGCAATTTTCCTTAGAGGCATTT